GTTACATTTGTGGGCGTTATCATATTTGTGGCAAGACGACGATCGTTATTAAATTTGTGGGCACTGGTTGTTAAATTTGTGGGTGTTGGTTGTTACATCTGTGGGCATTATTACATTTGTGGGCGATGTGTTGTTACGTTGGTGGGCGTTTTCACATTTGTGGTTTCAACAACCCTCCTTCGTTTAATGCTACTCTGCACTATTCTGTATATTTTCCCGTTTTGCCACTAGGCCTACATTTTTCAATTTCAATACATGCCAATGCCATATATTGAAATAAGGAAAAGCAGAATACAAATACGTGATCCGTCACTGACCCTCTTCCCACCTCCGCCCCGCTTTGAAAAAATCCTGTATCCGCTTCTGCTAACATAATATAGGCCTTATTAATAATACGATACGATATTACTTTATTGTTAATCAATATTCAACATGGATGAATAAAATTGCGATGTTTGGTACGATAAAAAAAAAGGCTGAACATTTAAAAATTATTCGCTTATAATCTCATAGCACACCGTATATCGTCTCATTGGTACTGATATTTGCATATTATTACCCGTCATGACATTTTCCATTGTGTGAACGTGGGGTGACAAGTTTATGCTAACTTTGAAAGAAGACCGATGCCATTATTATATCTAGCTACCATCGAAAATTAGAGTAAAGTTGTAGTTGGTTGTATGGTTGTAGTAGCTTTGGAGCCGAAAGCCACAGTAATACGCGCGCGCGTTTCGCGACATGTTGCTAAGTTACTTCATTGTATACCACAGTAACAATGTTGTGAAAGATCATTCGGTTGCTAATACTTGTTCTGGTTGCACGCACTCTTATCGATCTCTAAAATAATTATCGTATTAAACTCGTATCTACTATTAAGTAATGGATATTACTGAAGTTACTCAGACGTAAGTATCTGCTGGTTCAAGGATACGTTTCAATTGTTTTTTGAACGTTTCATAGTGTTAGGTTAGATTCTTAGGCCTAGGCTAGGCCAAGTCTTAAATTCCTTAGTTTGCAAAAGTTTTTTCTTATGTTAGAGATTCTTTTACGACACTGAAGGTGTGCTTTACGAAAAACATGGAAATTGTTAATAATGCACAACAGATTTTTTAATACGCCAATTTAAAAACAGTGGGGAAACTAGTCTATTGGGCGAACAAATATCACCATATTTTTTCCTATGGGGCCTAGCCTGGGTTTTTAACGGAACCAAATGATCATGGTTAGTTAGATCTGTTTTACTATAAGTATGTTCTAACCAGGGATTATTGTTTGTATAGTCAATCACGTTGTACGTTTATAAATAGATTCAATTTGATGAATATTTAACAGCCGGGTCCTAGCCTATAGGTTCTAAAGTGACAACAGTAATCAAGTTGAAGGCATGCAAGTCTTTTATTATACGCAACATGTTTGCTGGTTTTAATGTAATCAGCAGTTAAAATCAATGTTGATATTTTTTCTTTAGTTTAAATATTGAAGAATGTGCAATAACAGCACCACAGCTTTCTTCAGCAATTCGTTCCAGCGGTGACACGACGCTCACCAAAGGATGTCCAACGAATGAACTCAATGAGGCATGGGATACAAAACTATGCAAAAAAGATTTAAAATCAAAAGTAAGATACACTTAATATAAAATAAGTTAACGTTAATATAAAATAAATAATTTTAGTTCGAAATTGTATTGGTATTCAGAACAAGCACATTATGCATACATATATTCATGTAAAAGGCCCATTAATTTCCAAGTATTTTATTCGAATAATTTTATTGGTTAAAATTTATTGGTTGGATTATTATTAATATTATTATTGTTGTTGTTGTTGTTGTTGTTGTTGTTGTTGCTGCTGCTGCTATTGTTATTGCTATTACAGTGTATTATTATTATTATTATTATTACTGTTCTTAGTGTTATTATTGTTATTATTCTTAACTATTATCATTATTATTATTATTATTATTATTATTATTGATTTTATTATTATTATTATTGTTGTTGTTGCTGCTGCTAACTATTGTTATTGTTATTGCTATAACAATGTATTATTATTATTATTGTTGTTATTAGTGTTATTATTGTTATTATACTTTATAATTATTAACATTATTATTATTATTAATTATTATTTCTATTATTATTGTTGTTGTTGCAGTCTATCTTTATTATCAATCACTTGCTTTCTTTTATTCAAATCTCATATCTTCCCTGCCATGGAATACGCGTATTGCATTTATGGTAAACGCCCAAAGATTAAAAGGGATTAATTACCTCTTTCCTAAAATATTTTCAGGCTTATCTAGACATTCTACATATCACAGAATATTAATCAGTTTAATATTTCCACTTCTGAATTGTAAACCATCTGCAGCCTCGGGAAGAGCCCAGAATGAAAATAATCCCTTTCGCTCCCACATCCCTTCACGTCGCAAATACAATATGCCTCTCTACTCCTACTCCTACATTAACTCTCTCCTTCCTATCACATGTCGCACCTGGGCGCCGCTTTGAGACATCATTTCTTCCATATTCCCTTACCCTTGCATACTCCCTGTCTTTTAACCCATCCACATTCTCCCCTTCCCATATAAAGCAAGCTCTCAACAGGCAAATATTAACTCCCCATATAGTTTATTCATACATATGTTGTAAAATTATTTATTGTAATTTGTATTGCATTGTATTGTCCGTTGCTGGCGTATTGAAGCAACAAATTAAATTGAATTGAATACGGTATTTTTGGTGATTTGTGCTCAGTATGCTTAATCAGACTAGCGAATGATGACCCGAGTCTGTGATTGGTCAGAATATTTTTTGCACGAAAAAAGTATAATGCTTGAGTGACAAGTTTCGCTCTGCTAGACGCACCACTTTCCTCCAAATCCTCATAAAAATATTGAACACTAACAGGGTGTTATAACGTACGTCAAGACGACACACGAGGAAATAACAAGACTTGTGAATGAGGTGGAAGATATGAAAGACAACATCAAGCATCTGAAGGCTACAGTAAACACACTAACTGATGGGTATGTGTTTTGTATTTCGCATTTTAAATAAATATTTTTCTAGCTTTTGTAGGTCTTTATTATTTGTTTATTAAATTAACGAAATACAAAGTAAACGAGATTATAGATCAGGGTCTGTCGAGGATACGCAGACGTAAGTATAGCACAGTCATCAAAAGATATGTATACAATCCCCCGTCAACAAACACAGCATTAATTACAATAAAACAAACAGTAAAATATAATTAGTTTACCAATCTTTTTTCCGTGACATTTATTTTGATGATGATAATGATGATAAGTGATATTGATGATATAGTATACAACAAAATACAAAAAAGATGTTATTGTTGATGGTTGTGATGATGACGATAATGATGTAGAGATATTATAGATATAGTGAATAATATGTCTATATTTTTCTATATATTGAATCTTTACAGCATGGAAGAAGAAAAACGAATCCGTATTAAAGAAATTGCGATAAAATCCGAGGAACTCGACTCAATGAAAGTGGAGAATGCTGAAATTAAAAATAAGTGAGTTAAAATTTATTATAAATAATAATAATAGGTTGTATTGTTGATGGTGGTGGCAATGATGATAATGATGTTGGTGCCTCGATGGTCATAACTACTTATTTACTCTTTACAGCATGAAAGAAGACAAACGAGTCCATATTCAAGAAATGAGAGTTAAGACCGAAGAACTCAACTCACTGAAAGTGATGAATACTGAAATTAAAATTAAGTGAGTTGAAATTCTATACAACTAAATACAACAACAACAACAACAATAATAATAATAATAATAATAATAATAATAATAATAATAATAATAATAATAATAATAATAACAACTTACATTTGCGTATATTGCGCAGTGCATATGCGCTTTACAAATAATTATAAAACAAAAAGCATAATATTACAATAACATAATAAGGTGGACACTAACAACTAAAATGGAGAAGTTAGCCGCAGCACAAGACAATATGGAAAGGAACATGTTAGGTAGTATCAGAGACAGAAAGACAAATAAGTGGATTAGGCCACAAACACAAATTCAGGGTATAATGGAAATAATTAAACTAAGAAAATGGAAGTGGGCAGGACATGTTAACAGAATTTCAGACAAAACAGATGGAAAAAAGCAGTAGCAACAGAATGGAGACCCATGGATGGCAAAAGGAACAGGGGAAGATGGAGAGATAAGATCGATACGTATTGAGGAAGAGTGAATTTGGTGCAACACAGCAAGAGAGAGATTGATTTGGCGTCAACATGCTGAGGCTTTCGTCCAGCATTGGACCAACAATAGCTGATGCTGACTTAGGTGCGGTGGCAAAATAGCACTAAGTGTCTAAAGGGGCAACCATCCGCGCCGCCTCTGCCCTGCGCAATCCCGGTCCCCTACCAGGTGGCGCGAACTAAGGAGCAGGTTTCACATTATACCCTGCCAGAAATGACTGGATGCTCAGATTCTGCGACCACAGTAGGCGCCCCAAGAGACAGAGCAGGCCACTCCGATGTAAAGAAAAAAGAGAGATAATTTCATTAATTATAGGTGTTGTTGTTGATGGAGGTGACAATCACCACTGTGATGATAATATAATAAGTATCTGTGTTTTACTTGATTTACTCTTTACAGCATGGAAGAAGACAAACGAGTCTATATTCAAGATATGAAGGTAAAATCAGAGGAACTCGACACTTTGAGAGTGGAGAATGCTGAAATTAAAAATATGTAAGTTCAAATTTACATAACTAAATACAATAACGGATATTATTGTTGATGGAGGTAACAATGATGATAATGATAATGTTGACACCACGATGATGACCGCCCGTGATGATAATAATAGGTCTCTGTAATTTATTTGATTTACACTTTACAGCATGGAAGAAGACAAGCGAGTCCATATTCAAGAAATGAAGGTGAAATTCGAGGAACTCGACACATTGAAAGTGGAGAATGCTGAAATTAAAAATATGTAAGTTAAAATTTACTTAACTAAATACAATAACAGATATTATTGTTGTTGGAGGTGACAATGATGATAATAATGATGTTGACGTCACGATGATGCTCGTGATGATAATACTTATTTATTTACTCTTTACAGCATGGATGAAGACAAACGAGTCCATATTCAAGAAATGAAAGTAACGGCCGAGGAACTCGACTTATTGAAAGTGGAGAATGCTGAAAATAAAAATAGGTGAGACAAAACTTATGATAACTAAATACAGTATTTGTTTATAATGGCAATGATGTTAGTCATTAGTTTCTGTACTCTGTACTTAAATATTATTGACTCGTTACAGCATGGAAGAAGAAAAACGAATCCATAATAATGAAATGGAAGAAAAATCCGAGGAACTCAACTCATTGAAAATGGTGAATGCCGAAATTAAAAATAAGTGAGTTGACATTTACTCTAACTAAATAAATTAATAATGTAATTGTGGATGGATTTGAATAAATGGTGATGATTGGTAGTGAAGTTTCTTTAATTTTTATCTTTTTACAGCATGGAAGAAGACAAACGAGTTCATATTCAAGAAATGAAGGTAAAATCCGAGGAACTTGAGTCGTTGAAAGTGCAGACTGCTGAAATTAAAAATACGTAAGTTAAAGTGTATAATAATAATAATAATAATAATAATAATAATAATAATAATAATAATAATAATAATGTTATTGTTGATAATGGTGACAATGATAATGACGCCACGATGGTCTATATTTTACTACTTTACTCTTTATAGATTGGAAGAAGAACAACAAATTCATATTCAAGAAATAAAACTAAAGGCCAAAGAACTCGACTCATTGAAAGTGGTGAATGCTAAAATGAAGAATAGGTGAAACTAAATTCAGTATTATAAAATATAATGGTGGTGAAGATGATTATGATAATGATGAGGATAATGATGATAATTATGATGATGATGATGATAATGATAAGTCTCTGTATTTTACTTAATCCACAACATAGAAGAGAAAAGAATTCATATTCAAGAAATAAAACTAAAGGCCGAGGAACTCAATTCAATGAAAGTATTGAATGCTAAAATTAAAACTAGGTTAGAAGATTTAAAAAAAAAAAATTAATACAAAAAATAGACGTTATTGTTCGTGACGGTGTTGAAAATGATTATGATATAGATGACAATGATAATAATAATAAAGACATTTACTCTAACTAAATAAATTGAATTGATTATAATGGCAATGATGGTAGTCATTAGTTTCTCTACTGTACTTAAATATTGTTGACTCGTTACAGGATGGAAGAAGAAAAACGAATCCATGATAATGAATTGGAAGAAAAATCCGAGGAACTCAATTCATTGAAAATGGTGAATGCCAAAATTAAGAATAAGTGAGTTGACATTTACTCTAACTAAATAAATTAATAATGTAATTGTGGATGGTTTTGAATAAATGGTGATGATTGGTAGTGAAGTTTCTCTAATTTTTATCTTTTTACAGCATGGAAGAAGACAAACGAGTTCATATTCAAGAAATGAAGGTAAAAGCCGAGGAACTCGAGTCGTTGAAAGTGCAGACTGCTGAAATTAAAAATACGTAAGTTAAAGTGTATAATAATAATAATAAATAATAATAATAATAATACTAATAATAATGTTATTGTTGATAATGGTGACAATGATAATGACGCCACAATGGTCTATATTTTACTACTTTACTCTTTATAGATTGGAAGAAGAACAACAAATTCATATTCAAGAAATAAAACTAAAGGCCAAAGAACTCGACTCATTGAAAGTGGTGAATGCTAAAATGAAGAATAGGTGAAACTAAATTCAGTATTATAAAATATAATGGTGGTGAAGATGATTATGATAATGATGAGGATAATGAGGATAATTATGATGATGATGATGATGATAATGATAAGTCTCTGTATTTTACCTAATGCACAACATAGAAGAGAAAAGAATTCATATTCAAGAAATAAAACTAAAGGCCGAGGAACTCAATTCAATGAAAGTGTTGAATGCTAAAATTAAAACTAGGTTAGAAGATTTTTAAAAAAAATTAATACAAAAAATAGACGTTATTGTTCGTGACGGTGTTGAAAATGATTATGATATAGATGACAATGATAATAATAATAAAGGTGATGATGATGGTATGTCTATATATTTTTCCTATATTTACTATTTACAGCATGGAAGAAGAAAAACGAATCCATATTCAAGAAATGAAAGTAAAATCTGAGGAACTCGACTCATTAAAAATGGACATTGTTGAAATTAGAAATAGGTGAGGCGAAAATAATTATAGCCTAACTAAATACATGTTATTTTAATTAGTGATGTGAAGATTATGATGGTGAAGATGATGATGGAGATGACGATGATGATGATAATTTTTTATAAGATTTTACTTTACTCTTTACAGATTGGAAGACGAAAAACGAATACATATTCAAGAAATGGAAGCAAAAACTCAGGAACTCGACTTATTGAAAGTGAACATTGTTGAAATTAAAAATAGGTTAGGCGAAATTTATTATAACTTAATACAAAAACAAATGTTATTGAGGATAGTGATGTGATGATGGTGTTGATGATGAATGTTACGATGATAAGTTTTATAAGATTTTACTTTACCCTTTACAGATTGGAAGACGAAAAACGAACCCATATTCAAGAAACGGAAGTAAAAACTCTAGAATTCAACTCATTAAAAATGGACATTGTTGAAATTAAAAATAGGTGAGACGAAACATAAATAATAGATGATATTGCTGACGTCGATGATGATGACAATGTTGATATTTCTGATGATGATGATGATGTTAATGTTGATGATGTTCATGATGATAATGATGATGATAGTGATGATGATAAATCTCTATATTTATACTATATTTTATTTTTACAGTATGGAAGAAAACAAACATATTCATATTCAAGAGATGAAAGTAAAGACCAAAGAGCTCGACTCGTTGAAAGTGGAGACTGCTGAAATGAGAAATAAGTAAGTTATAATTTACTGTAACTAAATATAATACGCCTTTTCCACGAATAGGTAGACATCTTGAAGTTATGACAAACAACCCAAGTCAGTGGTGCGTAAGCAACAGAAATAAGATTAGCTTTGAGAAATTCTTGTCCTCAATTCCATAACGGAGGGTCGTATCACATTAATTTTTCCTGGAAAATGCTCTCAACAACTATTCTACACCACTATATGATTGAAAAAAAATTGAAAAGTGTTTTTGACCTCTGAAATCAAAATGGAAAAAGAAGAGCCTATCTAAATAGTGTATCAAAATAGGCCTATGCGTTACAGTACAGTAGCTTAGTACTTTCGTATTATTGCTGTTTCAGGAACTAATAATATACAGATTTCACTTATTATATATAAAGTACAAGTTATGTTTCAGAAAGAGTATAAAAAAGTCATGTTTTTAACACAGGAAAATCTTAAATTGTAACTAAAACAAAACCCGTTTAGAGTACTATCT